TCCCAAATTGGGGGTGTGTGAAGAAATTCGGGGGAGGGGGGCACGAGGCAACCCAGCCTCCCCCCCGTCAATCCCACCCTTCCCAAGTTTTGCTGCTATTTTTGTTTTTCGGCCCCCGTTAGTTCCTTTTCTTTTCTTTTTTTTTCTCAACAAGTTTTGCTGCTATTTTTGGGGGCTCGGTGGGCCTGAGGATTTCTCAAAAATCAAAAAGGGGGCGTGATGCCAAAAAGTTTGGGAACCACGGAGATCAATGCAAGCTTCCTTCTTGACAGTCCCATTTCCTTTCCCGGCTCCCAACTTCATGCTTTCTTTTAACCTCCCATCTGTAGCTGGGAATCCTTACCAGCTCACTCACACCAACCATCCTTCCTCTTCCTCCAGGTCGTGGGAAAAAAAGCCATTTATTCTGCCAAGGCTTCCCACTGGCCACTCTGGGTTTGTAAATTGTTATACAACGGACCCACTGACACTATTAACCTAAGCTCTGTGGGGCAGGGGTTGCGGTCTGCCTTTGGCATATCTGCCTTGCCCTGGCCAAGGGGCGCGCTCTAAACAACACGTACGCACATTCCTCTATATTTAAAAATGGCACCTCACTGAGAAAGTGTATCCCCAAAGATGATCTCAGCCCTCGGAGCCATGTGAAAAGGGAAGCTATGCCAAGAAGAGAGCTAGTAAACGGGAACTGCTTTGCTGGGCTCTGCCGCAGTGTCTCCTTCCTGACAAACTTCAAGAGTCTGTCTCCGTGCCCCCTTCATTTAAAAGCAGGCTGGGGCCGTCTCCTGCTATCAGCTATTGCTCCTCCGTGGGAATTAAGCTGCTTCCCCTTCCACGTGGAGGCAGGCGCCTAACCCTAGCCCTGTGCTTGCAACGCAGTCCATTTTCTCCCGTCAGAGCCCTTGCACATAGACAAACGGGGCTGTAGTGAAATCTATCTGGACTAGTGCAGCGTCTTCTTTCCAATGGTGTAAGAACACAGCGTTTGAGGTAAGGGCTTCGCCTGTTGGATTATCAGCGCCTGTACCCTGACAACACCAGATATGCCAGAAAAAGGAGAAACTGCAATGAAGGAGATTTGAGTTCCCTTAGCTGTAAGTGTTACTCCTCATAAGTGACAAGGAGTCCTGTGGCATCTTATAGACCAGTGATTCCCAATCTTTTTCCCATGGAGGAACCCCTAAAATAATTTTTCATATTCTGAGGAACTCCTACCTATGAAAACGTTTGCTTAGCCAGAAAAAGTTGACAGAGGGGAGCGCAATTCAATTACTGCTAAATTATTGTCAAGAAAATTTATTTGTAAAGAGCTGTTTTAATATAATGTTAGCTTACATTGTAAGAAAAAAAATTGTATTTATATATTCCATGATTTCTTGCGGCACCCCTGATGATGGTCCACAGAACCCTGGTTGGGAAACACTGTTATAGACAAACAGATGTATAGGAGCATAAGCTTTCGTGGGCAAAGACCCGCTTCGTCAGATTCATGATCTGACAAAGTGGGTCTTTGCCCATGAAAGTTTATGCTCCAATACATGTGTTAGTCTTTAAGGTGCCACAGGACTCCTTGTCGCTTTTGCAGATCCAGTCTAACACGGCTACCCCTCTGATCCTGCTCATAGGAATACCCATAGCCCTCTTCCAGGTACAAAGAGACGTTTTCCCCTTTGTGATCAGTGTGTTTCTCCTGGAATTGGGGTATCACTTCCTGACAGCAGATGGAAAAACAACAATAGAATGGAGAGACATAACATAGCCAAACAAGGAGGGAAGAATTTTGTCCAGTGGCTGAAGTAAAAGAACAGGAGTCAGGACACTTAGACTTTGTTTACACTCAGAACATTAAAACGCAGCTGGGGTGGCGGCTGCAGCGCTGGGAGAGAGCTCTGTGAGCGCTCTAGGTAAACCGTCCCCCTGAGGGAAGTAGCTAACAGCACTAGGAGCCTGTTTACAGAGCTGTGACTGGCAGCGCTCAGTGCAGGGGGGCTTTTTTTCACACCCCTGAGTGAGAGAGTTACAGCGCTGTAACTTGCCAGTGTAGACAAGCCCTTTGGTTCTAGTCCCTGCTCTGTTAACGTGTCTCTGCATGACTTTGGGCAAGTCTGTTAAACTCTCTTGCCTCCATTTAGCTACCCATACAATGAGTGTAACAGGCCTCAGAACACAACCCAGAGACATATGGAAATCAACACTGGTAAAATATGTTGGCATCCTTGCATGGTAGAAGCTAGCGAAAGGCAAAGGAGTTTTAGAGAGGAACACTGATTGGCAATATTAGCAAGTTCAGTCTTTATCCGAATCACTGGGCAAGGAGAATTTGCTGGTAAACTCAGTCACTGATCTAAGATAGCTGCCCTTTCTTTTGCTGCAGCTAATCACATCCAGCCACTCACATTTAATCTCCCACTGATGGAATTGCATTCCAAACAGCTTGGCTACTGACTGGCTACATCAGATGTGTAAATGTGTATACTCTGGCAGATCCTTTACCTTGGTAGCAGGAGAGAACTCCAACTAGAAAAGCTACATGCACGGGTGGCTGGGGACACAAAATCTGAATGATGATACAGAAGCTGAAAATTCCTCTCCCGTCTGGGAATGGAGGGCAGACAGCGGGAAATGATATCAAAGTCGCCTTCCTACCCTATGGGGAGATGTATTAGCTGGTTACATAATAAAACTAACTGCCTGTGCTTCCAAGGACTATTGCCGAGACAAAGACCTTCCCCTTTAATGCCACCAGAGATTAGAGCAATCGAAGAGGAGAGGAAACAAGGGGAGGGACCGTGGGTGAGGTTTTGCGCAGAGAAAAATGCCGCAAACAACAGTCTCTTTCCTAAATGCATTGTAAATCCCATCTGATTTCGAAGTCTGCTGTGAAAGCCATCTTGCATTAAAACCATTTTAATGCTGGATGAATGAGGTAGAGTGACTCAGATCCTGGAGTGAGTCTAGGCGGGGAACTGTCCAGAGGAATTCAGAGCATGAAAGCACTTTGGACACAGACCAAAAGGAACAGGCCTGACAGATTAGCTAACCCACTTTTTATTCTTAAAGGGACACCAATGTGCTTTTCCAAGTCTGACATTGTAAAACCTTCCTGGAAATAAAATGCCCTTTCTTTCCCGGCCCTTGTGTTGGTAAATCCAGATTCCCTACTGTCCTACCCAAAACAATTCCATTTCTTTTACTTCTTTGAGAGGTAGGGGGCAGGCAATAACACCCTCAAATAAGGTATAGATTTAGAAATAGGATTTACAGGTTAATTCGTGCTCCCTCTTCAGGCCAGTTGACTCCATAGCAACAAAACCAAGTGCAATGTTATTAGTGAACGTTGCTACTGGTTTTTTTTGGTTGCATTTTCCGACAACAGACTGGTGATGTTTTAGAACATAAAGAACATTCCTAACCAATTATTTCAAGGTGGGTCAAATATGAGGCCTACACTATTAAAGGTGCTGCTTTCAATACGGAACAGACCAAAAGACAACGGCCATCACTTTGCACACTGGTAATCCTGGGACCGTTTCCTTTGGCATTATCAAATTTAAAATAGTTCAATCTTTTAACGCTGCATTACCTTATAACTGGGCATGTTACACATGTCTTAAGCACAGACAATAACTTAAATTCAACTGCATCATCAAGTCGTTTTGAATTAACTAATACATTTCATCCGTGAACTTGGAAAGCAATGTTTTATTTACTTTGGCAGTTGAGCAAAGGCATAACATGGGACAGTTACATGTGGCTGGTTAATATTATCTGATATTTGCCTAAGACAGAGGGACTCTGATTAGGTACTCTGCTAAGATTAATAACCACTACCACAGCAATTTGCGGTTGGCTAATTATAGTAGATACCACTCAGAACAGGCACTCAGATACTGTGAGGTGTACCACAGAAAGGCCTATAAAGAAAGCAAGCAAGAGCCTGAACTGTGCTAAATGAAAATAGACAGAGCAGGGATGAATTCACGGGTATGGAAGGTGCCACAAAAGTAGATACTCAGTATCTAGTGACAATTCTCCAGTAACCAAAGAGGAACATGTGAAAAAGTCCTCTGGGTGGCAAGGAAACATGGAGGGCAGCACTTTGCAGGCACCTCTCAACCAAATTCTTTGCCACTTCAACTTCCAAGGCCATCTCATTGGCCTAAGAGGGCAGCAAAGCCCTTTTAAAAAGGTGAAACCTGGCTTATGATGCTCCTAATGGTGAAGCCTTCCTTATAGCAAAAAAAAAAAAAAAAAAAAGCCCAACATCCCCGATAACTTTCCCTTGGGGAATCAGCACTAGCTTCTTGCTAAGCAAAGCTCCTGGTTTGTCACCATTCAAAATGGAACTTCCTCCCCTTGTTTCCTGCATGGGCTGGGTTTGTTCTGACTCATCCCGTCGGCCAGGACTTGAGGGTTTGAGTAGAAAACAAAATTAAATCCAATTAAATATTTATCTGCTCTTACCATTAGCATCCTGGACTCCAGTAAGCGCTCCCACGGCTGCTGCCGTTTCACCGGACAGGACAATTTGTCCTCCCCCCTGAAGGGTGGCTTCCGCAAGCGTGGCGACAGCGTGAGCTGCTGCTTCACTGCAGACAAGAAAAGAAAAAGAACAATTAGAGAAAGGGAGCGCTGGGGTGCTTGGCTTTCACCAGCTGCCACCGAAGGAGAGCCCACACATGGGGGTGGTAAGAGCTCTCGCTAGGCCAAAGGAACGGAAATGCTCATGTCGTGAACAATCCTAGGGTGTGTCTAGACTACAGGGTTTTTTCGAAAAAAGTGGTCTTTTTTCGAAAAAACTTCCCCTGCATCTAGACTGCTGCCGCGTTCTTTAGAAAGTAAATCAAAAGAACGCGGCAGTTTTTTCGACCGCGGAAAACCTCGTTTGACGAGGAATAACACCTTTTTTCGAAAGTGCGCTTTCGAAAAAAGGCACTACGTAATGCAAACTGTGCTTTTTCGAAAGAGGGCATCCAGACTGCCTGGGTACTCTCTTTCGAAAAAGTGGCTTGCTTTTTCGAAAGTCCTGGTTGTTGTCTAGACGCTCTTTCAAAAGAGGCTTGTAGTCTAAGAGGGCTAAGATGGACCAGATGAAATGGCCTAGATGAAATTACTATAAGGTGGGTGGCAAAACTGGCCCTAACTGACTTGCATAACAGAGTAGAGGGGATGCTTATAACATTTGTGGATGGCACAAAGCTGGGAGTGGTTGCTCGTACTTTGAAGGGCAGGATTAGAATTCAAAATGACCTTGAACGAACTGGAATGAAAGCACCCTTAAATCCCTCTGTCAGCAGAGGGGTGTAGTTTAGACACACCCTAAGTGACTAGTTGTACTGTTGAAAAGGGTCAGGGGGTTATAGCTGATCAAAAATTGAACATGAGCCAACAATGTGATGCCGCTCTAACACGGTTATTTGTAAGATATGGGAGGTAATTGTTAGGGATGTTAGATAGTGTGTAATTGAAGAGTCATGTAACCACATCAAATCTTAGTGGTTACGTGATTATTCGACAGTCCCTGGGGGTGGGGCCAGCAGCCAGTGCACTCCCGGCCACACTCCCAGGGAGCTCCGTCATCTCGTGCTGCTGCTTCTGCGCTAGGGGTGGCAGGCGGGAGCCAGCCCAGAAGGGAGCCAATTTAAAAACTAGCTCCCCCCTGCTGCCTTGCGCTGCTGCTTTTGATACAGCACAGGGCGGTGGCAGCCCCTGTCCATGAGGGGCCTGAGCTCCCCGCGGACAGAGGCTGTGCCGGCATCCCACGGAGCAGCCTCTGA